TGAAGTGGAAATTAAAAAATTTGGTAAAACAAAATTTGCGATAAATAGAAAAATTCCAATAAATAGTTGAAATGAAATTTTAATTGGAGTCTGTATTGACCTTTGCAGTTAAGACACGGAAATATATCGTTTACTTAAAACAGCGACCAATTTTTATTTCATTTTAGTAGTTTTAAACTTACGGAAATTAAAATTTTACTTAAACGTTGTTTGGCATTGATCAACAAACTGAAAAAGAGTAGTAACAGATCCATGATAATAATGACAATATTGATAATTACAATAATCCATGATAATAATGATAATATTGATGCTTATAATAATCGATGATAATAATGACAATATTGATAATTACAATAATCCATGATAATAATGACAATATTGATACTTATAATAATCGATGATAATAATGACAATATTGATAATTATAATAGTCGATGATAATAATGACAATATTGATAATTACAATAATCCATGATAATAATGACAATATTGATAATTATAATAATCCATTATAATAATGACATTGATTAACAACAAGTAATGAAAAAGGCTTCGTTTCGTTTCCCTACCGTAAGACTCGCTTTGTAAGGAAATTTATTTACAGCTACAGTTTTTCCTCATCCAAAAATATCCATTCTTTTGCTTCGTTATATTTACTTATTTAATTAATTCTAACTATTTTCACTGATTTAACTGACTTCACCGCTTTATGTAACTTTCCCCTTAACAGTTTTATTATATTATTATTCCTTTATTATATTATTATACTTTATTTTTCGAGTTTTGAAATTTATTTATCAATTGTTTTGCATGAAGGTAAAAATAAATTTTATAACAAGAAATTAAACTTTTCAGTTTATATTTTAGAATAATAATAATAGTTTAAATCATTATTTATTTATTTATTTTACAAAACCTCTCTAAGCAATTTATGTAAAAATATGAAGTAAAATTATGGTTTCCATTGAAACAATTAACCATTTTATGAAGAATTTTTATTAAATATAATTGTCATACTTTTTTCATTATTTCGGATGAAATAAGTGAAAAATCACTACTCAAGTCCACTATATCAAATATTTAATTTTGTAAATCAAAATTAATGCGTATTTAAAACACGTATATTATTAATTTTCAAGTTTGAAGTGGGTTTTTAGCTAGTCTATTTAAGAGATTTAACAATTTATTTTATCTATATTATAGCATGCAATCACATTTATTTAATCAGTAAGTTACTGCTTAGTTACGAATAAATATTTCAATAAATTGTTACTAATTCCTGTTATTTCTTGGAACAAAGAATGATTCATAATAAATATCTGATGCATGCGTAAACTTAAATATCTTAAATCCAATCTCATAGCGGTAGACTAAGTCTATTACCTCAGTAAATTCTGAAAAGCAAAAATCGATATTTGTGCAATGATAATCTTCAAAAGATTACTATTTTTGAAGATTATCATTGCGAAAATCTTCAAAAAAGAGGAAAAAAAATCTGCTTTTTCATAATTTCAAGAACGAAGTGATATATACGTATAAATGTTTACATCTATTAGCATAAATATTTTAAAGTAAGCATAAAGTTGATCAGTCAACTGTAACTGCATATGTTTTTAGCTTTCGTTGAAAAATGATGAAATGTTACATAATCTTGATTGTCTGATAGAGGAAAAAAGTATTAAATAATGTTTTTGTGCGGTTTACAAAATCTTCGTGGCCTTCCGGTCGTTATATAAATAGGATGTTGCGTAAACACCGCCTTTAATATATATTTTTAGAATCTTTGTCGAATAATCATCCTAAATTATAATTATCATTAAAAATAACACAACTATTGAGTATTAATTAAAAAAATATTACTATTGATTACAAAAATAACATTATATAAATAATAATTAATAAAAATACTACAATTAGAAACAGACATGTGATTTTTTTCTTCCGTATTTGTTATCAGTGCCTTTAGTATTTTTTTTCTTCTTGTAATTGCGCATTAATATCTCAAAATATTCTGACAAATAGGCATCCTCTTCCCAATTCAATACTTTTTATTCTAATTGTGTCACATGTCTGTACTCCCGCAATGGATTGTTCGTAAAGACACGGTTCCCCGTAGAACACCGAAGTCAAGCATCACTGGCTGTGGTCAGTAAGCGTGTGGGTGACCACTTTGATCAAACTGCGTAGAGAAAAAGGGTGCGCAGTATCGGTCTTCGTTAAACTATTCTATCGTAAAGTTCTTGACTTCACGCGCAGGGAGTTTGGCTACCAAAACAGGGAAACCATCCCCTCTGCAGAGGATCAAAATTGCGATGGCATGTCTTCGGAACACTCTCAGGGAATTTTGCCCAGACAGGCGCCAATAACCCAACGTGCAGCTCTAGTGCGACGTTAATGAAGTACCTACATACCACATGCCTGTAGAAAACAATTCACATATTGTTTGAAAATATAATTGTATCTACCACTACAAAATTACAATTCCAATTCACTAGTATATATGACATGTTAACTCGATTATATGATGGAGTACCTTTACATAGACGAAGGGTGACATTGTCAATAACAACTCACCCTCCACAGAAAACATCACATTAGCTCTTAAATTATCATATACACCAAAGAGCCATTACATTATGACCACCCTGCTAATAACATGTAGGACCATCTTTAGCCCTCAAAACTGCTAGCACCTGCTTCGGTATTGATTCCACAAGGCACTGATAGGTAGTCTGAGGTATCTGGTACCAAGCGCTCACCAACTGGCCCTGCAATTCCCTCACATTGCGAGAGGGTAGCGTGGCAGCACGAATTTGGTTTTCTAAGTAGGATCACAAATGCTCTGTTGAATTAAGGTCAGGTGAATTTGGGGGCCAAGACATGACTTGAAAGTCACTGGAATGTTCCTCGACGATTCGACCCTTATGACATGGTGCATTATCCTGTTGGTAAACACCATCCCCCGCAGGAAAAACTGTTGCCATGAATGGGTGAACCTGGTCTGCAACTATGTTCAAGTAGCTTACAGACGTCAGGGAATGTTCTATGAGGATTATGTGTCCTAATGTGCCCCATGAAAACATTGTTCCTGGGTGAGTAACCATGAAAACCTGGGCGAGCCCATTGTTATAGATGGAGGGTGGTCATAATGTAATGGCTCTTCGGTGTACACAGCTATACTATGAACATGTATCTTATTTTACCCTACTTGATTTGAATATTATTATACCTCATTTTGTAAATTCATTCCACGGAAACTCACCTTTTACTAACGTAAGGCCCTAAAAAGATAATTTCGTGAAATCGGGTTCGTATACTAAATTAAACTAAAGCTTTTGAAATAATTTATAAAATTCTTATTAACTAAATTACCAATGCGATAAAACCAAACATAAATATTTATAAATTTAAAATTTATTTAAATGATATTATACCCCACTTTATCGATCCATTAACTACTAAAACTTGCTTTTTACTAACGAAATCCCCAATAAAGATGCATTCCGCAAATCGGCCTTGTATACAGAACTTAGCAAAAGCTTTTGATACAATTTACAACATTTTTTTTAGTAACTAAATGACCCATGCTATAAAACCAATTATAAACATTTATAAATTTGTAGAAAGTGATTAGAATAAATTTATTCGTAAAACAAGTTCAATTTCAAATGGATTGGAAATTCTTTTGATTAAAGCTCCCAGTAAAGGTTTATTATTTATTTTTACTAGGGGAAAGTGTCGTCCCCTAGCGGGTGGTTTCGTTTGTTCTTTCACTTCAAAGAGTAAATCTAAAACCTTATGTACCAGGATGTATGCACCTTATGTACTAAGGTGATTAGGTACACAATCATCTTAACTCACAGATGCAAGCGAAGGTACTGAATTGGACCCATTTGGGTTTTCCCACATAGGCCTATATGGACTGATCTAATGCGCCCCATATGAGTTTTCCCACATAGGTTCATATAGATCAGTGTTTCTTAACCTTTTTGATACAATGGACCCCTTTTAAATTTTTTTAAGAAGTCACGGACCCCCTGAGAAAAAAATTGCAAAAAACATCAATTTTTAGTATTTAATTTATTTTAGCATTTAATTTTATGATTTCAATAGTATACAAAATATTTAAAATTAAATTTTTCAGTCTGAAGGTTGTTGCTGCTTTTCCTTAATAAATTGAATAGAGAGATGGTTTTCGACAAAGCTATGTGCATAACATGTTCAACTTTCAATCGATAACGATTTTTTGTTTTTACTGTCACAACTGTGGAAAGTCCGGCTTCGTTAAGATACACTGTAGCTAACGGAATTATAGCTGAAATAGCTCGCTTTACAAGCAATGGGTAGGCTTCTTTCACAGAAGACCAGAACTCTCCGAGTGTTTTTGAATCGAAATTCATTTTTAGCAAGGACTTTGTTCTAAGATCAATAAGCTCAGCTTTGGCAAGGTTCATATCATCGATACAATCAATATCACAAAGAAAAGGATGACAAATCCACAACTCATCTTTTATCTTTATCTCATCCAAATTAAAATATTTTTTCAATGTAACTTGAAGTACTTCCAGGTGTTCACAGATTTTATTTTTAAGTTATTTAGTAACAAATTATCTTGCCAAGATCCATTTTGAGAAAGCACTTCGTCCAGCATTTAAAAGTTTGCATATATCTCATTTTGAATTCTATTTTTTTCAAAGTGGCATCTTCAATTAGAATGCTTGTAATTTCTCAGTTGCATCCATAATGGTGATATCGGGTCATTGAATTAAAAGACTTTTATTGTTCATGTGGTTAAAATTATCTGCCAGGTAAGCCAATTTATAGGTAAAATCTTTTTTGTTTAAATATTCGAAGAATGAGTTATCTTTCTCTTCTACAGCAAGTGATAATTCGATCTTCAACTTGAAAAATTGTTTCAAAACCTGCCCTCGTGACAGCCAGCGCAATTCCGTGTATTACAGAAGTACCTCATGTTCTGCGTCCATTTCTTGACACATCTATTTAAAGAGACGATGATTAAGAGCTCTACGTCTAATAAAATGTACAGTTTTAATAACTTTTGATAATGCTTCTTTTAAGCTGGTTGGAAGAGTTTTTGTAGCCAGCGCATGTTTATGTAAAAGACAATGAGTAACAAGAACATTAGGAGACTTTTTTTTTACCAACAGGGCAAAACCAGATTTATTGCCAAGCATCACAGGTGCTCCATCTGTACGAAGTGAATGAAGTTTTTCTTTCCAGCCGAAGTCTTGTTTGGTAAAGAAAACATTTAACATTGCTAAAACATCAACTGCCTTTGTAGTTTGCAAAAGAGACTCACAAAATAAGAATTCTTCTTTGATAGTATCAAGAGACACGTAACGAACAAAAACAAGAAGTTGACTATAATTCGAGATATCTGTAGTTTCATCCAGTTGCATACTAAAGGGAAATGGCGATACTTTCAATTCATCGATGATCTTTTTCAAGATATTGCAAGAAATTTCAACTATTCTTGAATGTGTCACATCATTTGAAAATGGAATTGCCTCAAGTTTTTTTTCTCTGTTCCAATCTACAAACTAATTCAACCATCTCCAGCGCACATGGCTTAATTAACGTCTCTCCAATAGTATGCGGTTTCTTGCTTTTAGCAATATGATATGCAACTTTGAGAGATGCCTCAACCAGAGGCTTTTGTGGAATACCAAATCCAAGTTTGTCTAATGTTCCAGATTTCAAAAACTGAGCTTTCTTCTTAGTAAAAAATTCTAGATCTAGTAACCTGAGTGGTGAGTAGATCTAGTAACAAGGTGTCAAATGTACGTAGCTTGATAGGGGATAGTAAAAATAGTGTAGCTGACGTCATCAGGGGGTTGCCCCTGATAGTGCAAACTGAAAGCCGGTTAGTGGAGGATGTTAAAAATGACAGGGATATTAGAGGGCTGCGTGCAGTCCGTACTGAATTTGAGGTATCTCGATCACCTAGTTTCAAATATGTACGTATTATCACCTTTCAGAAAGAAAAAAAGATCAATGTTATTTCAATATTATTGATCCAAACGTTTTAAAAATTAGGAGTAGTCGGTGGACCCCCAAAATATGACCCATGGACCCCTAAGGGGTCCATGAACCACAGGTTAAGAAACCCTGATATAGATTGACTAAATGGAACCTATATGGGTTATTGGCATAGGTCAATATGGGCGATTCAGAGGGGCCCTGACAGAAATATTCCCCTGATCTATATGGGATACATGTAAAGTTCCGCACATAGACCCATACCTATAATGATTATCATATTGTATGATAGTGACGTTTCTGGTTAAAAAAGCAACATAATTCTAGTATTTAAAACTAAAATATACCGTATTTAAACCATTCATTCAGTAATTTCTCGTTTCATATGGTAACGGTTTACTGGAAATACTGGTTTTCAAAATTATAGTTCAAATCACTACATTTTTACGAAAAAATACAAAAGTAAAAAGCAAATTTCACCGATTAAATGTCTTTTGTGCCATGCTTGAAAGTGCTATGAAGAAAATTCTAAATTATATCACATTTACTAAATTATATCACATCTATCAAATTTATCATATATTATAAAACCATACTTTATAGTTACTTTTACCAAAATAATTACCAAAGCAAGTCGATGAAAATTATCGGACTTTTTGGGTGTTCCCCTAGAGCAGTGTTTCCCAAAGTGTGGTACGCGTACCCCCAGGGGTACGGGAACAGTTTAGTGGGGGTACGCGTTCTTAAGCGAAATATCTCGCAACAAACGAAAATTTCAAAATATTTTATTTAAAGACAAGGCTAGCTATGAAAATTTAAAATTATGTATTTTTCTATTGCCTATTTTTTGCAGAGTCAACAATTAACAACAGCCAGTCGTGTCTTTTAACTTTTGTACAATTTTTTTATTGTAAAAAATACATTAATTTTTTTTATTAGTGGAAAATTTAGAAAGGGTACACAAAAGTCATAAGTTTGGGAAACACTGCCCTAGAATCACAAATGCGGTAAATTTTGCCATATTCCAGTAGCTTTGACCATACTGTTTTTTCCTCTGTGCTCTTATTTGAGGTTTCTGGAATCCTAATTCGACGAATAAATGAGAAAGTAGGTTTTTGAGTCTGATTTCGTAACTTAAAACATCGTAGTATATCATGAACAAATGATTTAATATATTTAAGGTTAAACCCTCGAGCGATTAATCCAGCCTAATACGTGAAAATCCAACCACAAGACCAAAAGTTATTATGGGGTTTTGTTTTTAAGGGCCTTATACAATATAACAACTGGAAAAAAATTAAAAAATACTTGAAGACCACTGACCCTGATAATACACTGGTGTAAAAAATTAAGAGAATTTGCAGATTTGGTCGATTATCTCATGAATTACTTGACCGATTTTCATGAAATTTGAGTTGTACATACATTGATACAATGCAAAACGAATAACCGTTCAACAATTGTAATACACATTCATAATCGTGCTTAACACTCGTTGGTGTCGGAAGGTATGAAACAGCGGTTGCAGAATATTAAGAAAAAAATTGGGTTAATAGGGAGTGTGATCCCATCTTACAAATATGCAAGACTTGCAACGTGATTTCATACTTGAAATAAGGCAGTTTATCTTTTCCTGTGGCAATTGGCCTGAATTGTCTTGTGGCAATTTCATACCTTCCGACTCCAACGAGTGTTATGCACGATCATGCGTGTGTATTACAATTGTTGAATGGTTATTTGTTTTGTATTGTATCAATGTATGTACATACCAAATTTCACTTAAATCGGTCAAGTAGTTCATGAGATAATCGACCAAGTCTTCAAATTCTCTTAATTTCTTACATCCATGTAATACACTATTTGGAAGAAAGTGACGGGACACGACACTATAGCGACATAAACCCATATTTATTAAAATTAATAGGAGATAGGGCCTCCTTTGGCTGCTATCACAGCTGCTACCCTTCTGGGCATGCTTTCCACTAAATTAGCCATAGTGGCAAGAGGAATTTCCTTCCAAATGTTTAACAGGAAGTTCCATAGTTCATGCTTGCTTTTGGGGAGTGGCATGCAGGCCCTCAACCGACGGTCCAATTCGTCCCAGAGATGTTCAATTGGGTTAAGATCAGGGCTCTGCGCCGGCCACTCCATGCGTTTAACGTTGTTGTTCACATACCAATCAAGAGTCCTCCATGCAACATGGGATCTTGCGTTGTCGTCTTGATGCAAGCAATCATCCATACCGTACGTTTCCCACTAGGTAGGAAGGACATGATTGTCGAGAATATCACAGTATCCATCGGCATTCATCATACAGTATCCATCGGCATTCATCATACCATCAACCTTCACCAGTGGGTCAGCCCCATTCCAGGAGAAACAGGCCCATACCATCAATCCTCCTCCACCAAACTTTACAGTTGTCCCGTCACTTTCTTCCAGATAGTGTATAAACAATTGCCGTTAACTGGGTAAGAAATAGAAGAATGAAAAACATGGAAAGACATAAACGAAACAAAAATGTATCATTTAAAACTTCGTAATAAAAACTTCATTCAAATATTTCTTTTTTGAACATATACAACGCGGAAATACACATTTTAAGAATGACTAAACAAATAACAATGACACAATAAGAATGCTATGCTCATCATTATATGCAAATCAGAAGACTAGCTGTCACTTCACTAAGTTTGTCTCAACACGTACAACAGCATGGGGCTTTAAATGAAATGAGTAGAATAATGGCGCCATGATTGTTTGGAAGGAAATAAATTATTTATAGCCTAATAATTCGAACAAATTGCCATTATTTGTTAATTAACTTGTATAAATTAGTATATTTGGTTCGCTAATTAATGGAATACAACATTTCAAAGAATATTGAAAAAAATCATATGCAAAATCAAATTCATTTAAATCGCATTTCAATGTTTTTTCGGTATTTTCAGTGAAATAGAATTTTATGTGGGGAATACGATTTAATGAAAATGAATATATTACATTAAAAATTTAATAATTAAGCGTATATAAAGAAACTGAAGAATTCTGCAAAAAATGTAATTCTGTAGTAAAATTCGAGTATCAAAATTATGTACAAAACAATTTATCAGAAACTCGTTCATTTTAAAAAGGAACACTTTTTAACGAATAAAACCACCGTTTTATAACTATTAATAGTTTTTAACAATTATTCTGCCACTGATACGTGAAAGATAAAAGTGTTTGTTCTCTAATTTTTCTATAATAGAAAAAGTTACAACTGCACTGTACTTTTAGACTCATAAAAATTTGCAAAAATTGAAAATTATTCAGTAATTGAAAAAAATTACAACTACGCTGTACTTTTGGCAAAAATTAAAATTTATTCAGTGATTTTATTGATTTTTATCAAAATGAAAACAACGAACACATTTTCTTTAAAATTTGAAATATTTCTACTCTTTAAAGTTCAGACATTTTCTTTCATCAAAATAGTAAATATAGTTGAAAACTAAAGCTTTATTTCCAATTTAAGACACTTAAACTACAAAATATATAAATTTCATAATAATTAATATAGATTTCATGATAATAAATTTAAATTTCATGAATCAAAATTTATTTTTATGATAAAGAAGAATTTTTTTAAATTATTTTTCTCCTGAACCTTCAAAATATTAATTATTATTATTCGACAATAATACAAAAAGAAAACATATTTTTTTTGTCCAAATGAATAAACATTAGGGGAATAATAAGTTATCGGCATAAACAATCTTGCTTTAATCACGTGAATATTTTTTTTTAGGTAGCTTTGCTTAAGTTTCTAACCTAATCAAATCTGAAGACACGAGCTCACATAATATGCTTTGTTTACGGCTTCATTTTAATAGCTATAGCTCTCGGCACATTCTCTCCTTTTAGTCAAAATATATTAACATAAAAAACAAGTAGAACTTCCTAGTAGATTTGTTCGTTCTACTATTGCCGAGGTCAAGTTCATTGTGAGGCTTAGACTTAACTGTTAAAAATTTCGGCGCGTGTAAAAAAAAAACTACGTTCAAGTTTGCCGAAACAGTATTATTAGGGAAATAGAACCATATTATTGTGTTTCTTAAAACTGATTACATAATATTATGAAAGTTGTCGAATACAGGGGTAAAATTTAAAGATATTTAAGTTTTCAGCAGGTTCGGACAACATAAAGGTTTGTTTTAAAATTTTATTTCATAACCGGCATTGAACAGTTGACCTAATTCTGAGTTTACAACTACCAATGCTTAACTGCGTTGTCTTTAATACCAATTCAGAAACCAAGGGAACTCCTGAAATAAGCTTTAAGACAAACTAGCCTTTGAGAAGGAATTTTTGTTGAAACTAAGCAGCATTTGGACAACATTGAGGAGAAAACCTCCCACGGTTAACCAGACGGCAAGGAAATTCTAAACTGTGATCCATCTACCACTGAAGATATTTCATGTCAGCTTTTTGGTTGGCGCGAGCCATGAGCAGAATTTGTAACCAACCACTGAAGGGATTCGAACCTGAGTCACCTCATTGGGAGACTAATGCTCTTTCCCCTGAGCCACCGTGATTCCCGCATCATGGTTCAAGGTAGTGATAATATGGTTCAACTTCGAACCAATTTTTCTCAAGTGGGCAGTTCGCAAATTATTTTATGATTAGAAGGCAGCCGAAGTCAGGATATTCTTCTGGAGGTCAGCCAAAGTACACAAACATTTTAAAATGAACTGTACGTGTTTTAATTCGTTTAAGAAATATGTATTTTGAGAACATGCATGTATACCTTTATGTTACATAATTATTTGAGATAATATGATCAAATATCGTTTTCTCAAAATTTTATTTGTAATGCTCTGTGATATGTTGTTGTTGTTGTCGGCCATATGGCTGAGGGGTGCGATTGTTCCTGCTTTCCAGTGGCGCCATCTATGACCAAGAATTTGACTTTTGCCACACTTAGACATCACATTCGTTAATAGGGCTGTCTCATTCCTACACCAAATCATTTGTCCGCAAATCGTAATTTTCACTAGAACCTTTGAGAGATCAATCTCCAATTCAGAACCCCCAGAGTTACTGATTTGTTATGGGAAGCAGGATCAAATTACGGTATAAAGTGTTGGTACTGATAGTTACATACGGTATAAAGTACCGATACCCTGATGTGCCGGTACTTTTTACCGTAATTTGATCCGGAATGTTTTAAAGTGTATTGAGTGAGAACAAAACGGATTCAATGACCCGGATGTACAAAGGACATAGATATGAGTAGTAATTCTTTTAAACTTACGTTAACAGTACAAATAACATAAAAAATGGCTCAGAGGATAGAGTGTTCGCCTTCCAATGAGGCAAACCGGGTTCGAATCCCAGAGATGGCTGGTCGATACGAATATTGCATCCGGCTTGCAACGACCTCAAAAAAATATTCTCAGTGGCAAATGGATCATGGGTTAGAGTCCCCTTGCCATCGGGCTAAGCATAGGAGGTTATCTTGATTTTCCTTTCCATGCAACGCAAATGCAGGTTAGTTTCATCAAAAAGTCCGCCACGAAGGCAAATTTCTCCCAATACTTGATCCAGGAGTTCCCTTGTATTCTGGGTTGGGTTTAAAATTACAAGGCTACGGAGTGGAACGTTAGTAGTCGTAAACCCAAAAAATTGGGTCGGCTGTTCAACGACGGTTATAAAATAAAATAATATAAGAAGGTTAAATTAGCCACTCAATCAATTCTTATATCTAAAATACTTCACTTATTTTTTCTGAATTTCAAAACAAACGTGAAATAAATAAAATTCTGTATGATCTGCAGACATATACTATTTGAGGTATGAAGAAAATGTGAGTAAAAAGTAAATAAAGAAGCCATGATCTAGATTGGAAACATTTGCTCGTTGACGAAGAAAATGTTTTACAGAAAAAAAAAAAAAAAAGTTTGAACTAATTGATAAGAAAAATATTACAAATTTCACGTCAGCATGCGTTTTCATTTTTTGCTACACACGCGGCGGAAGATAAGATCCGTGTTGATAAACAGAATGTGTGTGATGGGTGTAAAGTATAAACTGATTAAGTCACCAGTTGCTTAAAATAAGAAAAACGTGTATCATGATTTGTTTTTGTTCCTTTTTTGAATAACATACATAGAACTGATATTTCTTGATCAAACTGATTACGAAATGAAAGATACTGTCTTTAAAAAATCACACTGATATTTTAATTAAAAATCGATTCTATATTGTATAATATTGTGGATAATAAATTTTTTTCTCGCAAATTAGGTGTGCGAAACAATTGCTTAAAATGCATAAATATTTTTTACTTGTGTTTTTCCTTAAAACAGTGCAATACAATTTACATTTGAGTTTTAACTCTTTGTAAAAATAATGTTAAAATATTTTTTATCGCGTTTAATTCTACTGAAATTTTAATGAAAACATACATAAACCGAATACATATATGATATACAACGAATACATATATACATAATACGAAAACATATTTCCGAATAGCTTCATATTTCGGAAATATATTTCGCAAATTTGCACGACAGAAACTGCGTTCCTACACGACATAAAAAAGTCATGCAAACCCTCACTGAATAGTTCCCCCCCTTTGCATCCAAGATTTAACTTATTGTAAAAATTTTATTCAAAATAGTTTCTATTATCGTGAAAATATGACAGAACACTTCTAAAATATATTTCACAAATTTGCACAGAAGAACCCGTATTTCTATGACATAAAATAATCATTACTTGTATCAGTCATTAAATGGAGGCGCCCCCCCCCTTTGCATCCAAGCTTTAACCTATTGTAAAAATTTTAGTTAAAATGGCTTCTGTTATCGTGAAATATGACAGAACACTTCAGAAATATATTTCACAAATTTGCACAGA